CCTGCAGGATGGGACGTGACCCCTAGGAGGTGGGGGGGTCCTTTCCAGTGTCTTCTCGTTTACAGGGAAATTGCTGGCATAGCCGCAAGGAAAACTGGATTCCCACCCCAGCATCTCAGCACGCAACCCCAGACAAGGGTATGACTCTTCCAGCCTCAGTTTACCCATCTGTAGAGTGGGGGTCGGGACGGGCCATGTAGGAGGCTCCTCGGGTGACCTGTTTGCCGGGGGTCTGTTCCTGGAGTTACTGTGAAGGGTGATTGGGGTGCTCTGGCCGAAGCCAGGCCTTCTTGTTACTGCTGACGCCGTTGTTAAGGACCACCTCCGGGGTTCTTGGGTGCCACCCTTGACCCGGTCTCTCAGCCTTTTTTGTGTTAATTGTGCGCCTCCCCGGGGCTGCCAGCTTTCTGCCTGCCCCGCACCCCAGGCCGCCTGCCACCCCCTGGCTGCCGCCGCCCTTCATCTGCCCCGTCCCAGGCTGCTCCAGACGCAGCGGCCGTCAAACGTTGTTGTCATCTGCTGCCTGACTTCCGTCCTTTGCATCCACCGGAATCTCCGGGACTCCCGAGCGTCTGAGGCCTTGAACCTCAACCCCTAGGCTGTCCTTGGAGGCCTCTGTCAGCGGGCTGCTCCGGGCGCCAACCCTGTGCCCGTCGCTGTCCGCGGGCAGCAGAGAACCACTCGCTCTCCTCTCCACCCAGGAGCCGCTGCCCCGTGAACCAGCTTGAGTGGCCCCAGCCCCACCTACACCTCCCGGTGTTACCTGGCACCCATGCCCTGAGGGACTCCCATGTGTGGGCGTCTGTCCTGAATGCTTTTCACCCCCGGACCTGGATTCAGCCTCCGGAGAGCCGCCCCCCAAGTGGTGTCGCTAACGTGGCAGTGCGCAGGCAAGGGGGGACCCCCAAATGTTACCCAGCTCCCACCCTGCACCAACCCCCACCATTGGCTGCAGCTGTGGGGCGTTGCTGAACCCGTCTGCCGTGGCTGCCTGGGGACCCCAGAAGTTAGCTTTGCAAACAGCTCACGCCGTGGTGCTGGCTCTGGGAGGAGTGGGCTCCCGTTCCCATTGACTGGGGTCCTGCCAGATACTTTCTGCAGCTCGTAAGCGCCTGCCTTCCCCGTTCTGTAGTCACTTCATAAACACTGCTGACCAACAGGGCTGCACGGGGCGGGGGATGGCAGCCTTGTCGTAAAATGAGCTGCCTCGTTAACTCATTTTACTCCCCGGCCAGGGTCGTCTCCGGACACACAGGCTGGCCTCCCCCCGATCCCCCTCCTCAGTCCTTCCCTCTGGTTCTGGGTCAGGATCCAGGCCATCTGCTACGGCCGTCCCCAAACCAAAACGAAATGGCTTTGGCTCGGTCCGCCGGTTACTGGGGCCTTAGCCTTGGGGAGTACGTCCAATTCTGGGACCCCGGGCAAGAAAAGGCCTCAGTCCCCTTAGAAACCTACAACCTGAGAGGGTGGCCGTCACTGGAAGAGAACATTAAGGCCTGAAGCAGGCCACCCGTGTGCATCCGGGAGCCAGAGGCCTTCCTGACTCTCCCAGGCGCCGCCCCTGCCCCCATCCCCAAGAAAAATTGCTTCATGCGAGCGAGCTCGGGACACGCCAAAGGCACATATAATAATGAATTTATTATGAAGCCGCTCGGGCTCCCGGGATCACGTGGTGCCCCCCGCCGCCGCCTGCTGGGGTCTCTGCTCAGGTGACCCCAGCCTTGTTAGCGCTGCAGAAGTATCGCCCCTTTTGGGGGGCAGGGCAGTGGCATGGAGGCCCCGAGCTGGGGGACACTTGTATTTGTTCACAAACATTTCTCTCTGCGGTAATGAAAAATTACCAAGGGGGGTGATTAGAGAATCCAAGTCCAGATTGCGCACGCGGGCCTGAAACTGAGGCCCTGCTGGGCCCGGCCTCGTGGGGTGTAATTACCCGGGGTGGGGAGTGGCTGTCAGGGGGAAGTGGGGCGGGTTGGTGCTTGAACCGGGAGCCAGCAGAAAATTCATCTCGGCTATTAGCTTGTAATTACAGAGCATGGAGGGAGCAGGCCTGAGGTCTGGAGCCACGGAACAGCGGCGTGAAGACAGCGGTAATTATGGGATCGGTGGGAGGCCGGAGGGAGGCTGAGGCGCGCTGGTTAATAACGCCCTCCGCCCTCACGCAGGGCGGGGAGCCGCGCCGCGACCATGTTTAATGGAGTGTTAGGGGCCTGCCTCCCCCCCCACCCCTTAAGTCCAGCTGTTTGGAACGTTCAGAGTCGATCGGGGTCTGTTCGGAAGCACCGGGACAAGGTGGTTCTGGAACACGTCTGCCAAGCCGTCAGCCCAGCTCGCCCCTCTGCACTTGGATTTGTCGTCTTTGCTTTTTTCTTTTTTTTGGTTTAAGCTTTGTACTGCTTCTGGCCATGTTAGAAACCTGGGCAGGGAAGAGGAAAGGGTATTGGTTAAGGACACCACACTTTGGTAGAAGGAGCGGGAAGGGTGATGGCAGTCCTGGGCCGGGCAGTCCTTGCTTCTGAAGACCGACACCGCCCGGGGGAGGAGGGGGCCGGCAGATGCGGTGCGCGCTGTCGGCCTGGTGGCCTTTCCTCTCCTGCTCTCAGCTTCGGGCACAGGGCAGGGGCTCTCGGCTCTGGGTGTCTGGCCGTGGCGGCTCTTTTCTCCTGGGGGGTCGAGGGGGCAGGAGGTGGACAGTAGCATGTGATGCAAATGAGGTGGCCAGGAGGCCACCTGAGCTCCCCGTGTGTCAGGGGCTGGTACAGCCGGAGAGGGAGCTCTGGCCCTGCCCCCAGGGCCGCCCCAGCCCCCGGCCCTCATCCATCATTGGCCTTCGTGCTGTGGTGCCTATTCCCAGCTGTTAGGATAATGAATTTACATGAGCTGATAATGTAGACAAGAACTCAGTCGATGGCCAGGAGCGCAGAAGTTAATAAATACCTCTCTGATGACGGCGTGGAGGAAGATAGGCACCACTCCTGCTCTGCGGGGCTTCTTGAGGGTGCAGGGCTGCCCGAGGCTCCCTCTCCTCTCCTCTCCACGCACCTCTGGGGCTTCCACGGTCGTGGTGGCACCTGTGGCGGGGTGTGGGACCCACCTGCCTGTGCAGGGCTGGGGGCAGAGCAGCCCTGAAGTGACCGTGAGCCTGTGACTCGGGGTGCGAGGCACACGGCGGGGGCTGTGCTCCCGGAGGCCATGTCGATCCCCAGCAGGTCCAAGGTGACCCTTTACGGGGTCTCTGGGTCCCCCGAATTTGGCCTTTGTCCTTCCCCGTCCTAGGTGCAAGGGGGCCGTCACCCCAGCTGCCGGTGGTCCCTCGGGCCCCTGCCTCCCCTCCCCTCCCTTCCCGATGCACACATGCTGAGGAGGGATGCTAATTTTAGACTCCCCTAACGAAGCTGCTCATTTGGAATTCTATTTTAAGTGACCTGACATCAGCAGAGCAGCTTTCCTGGCCCGAAGCTGCTCCAGAGACCACAACTGACACCACGACAGGGACGCTAGCTTTGGGGGAGCCCCAGGAGCCTGGGGGCGCTGTACATGGGGCCTGTGCAGCACGTGCCGGGCTCTAAGGAGGGGGGAGAGCAGGCTCAGAGGGGGGTGGGGCGTCACTGGATGCCAGTAGGAGTGTGACAGTGTCATTCAGGTGGCGGCTGGTCCAGGAGGGGGCAGAGGGTGGGTCTGCCCCCCAGAACCCTGGTCACCAGGGAAAGGCGGGGGTTGTCGGTGAGGGTTTGGGTTCCAGGAGGGGCACCCCAGTTCCCTCAGCTCCCGCATCTGCCCCGCAGGAGGCCCCGGTCTGGGGAAGACCCCATCCCCCTGTTGGTTATTCCAAACTCATGCAGGCAAGTCTATCTGTTTGTGGGCCCCCCACTTTTAAAAACCTGGTTCACTACAGAAAAACTAGAACAGAGAGAAGTAAAAAGGCTAAAAACGAGAAAATTGTTCCTCCTGCTGTCACCTGAAGACCCCCACCCGTGGCCTTAAGGGGCCCGTGACACTTTGGGGTCTGCCCCGGGATTTGCCCCATGGCTGCTCCCCACTTATTCGAGCACCCGTGCACCATCCTGCCCAGCGCTGGTAGCTGGCGGTCACAGCATGTCCGCCTGGGTCACCAGCTGGCCAGCCTGCCACAGGGCCACTGGGCAGAGAGCTCCACATCTGCTCCCTGGGCCACGGGGACCGGTCACTGGGAGGTGCAGGACTGCTTCGCCTGCCTCACTTTGCCGGCCCCCCTCCCCTCTGTCTGGAGGCAGCATGCGGTGTGGGCTGTGGGGTGGAGCAGAGCCAGGCCCTCCTGCTGCGGCCCCAGGATGGGTCTGGATCTGGGCCCTGACCAGCTTTATGTACGTGGGACACAGGTGCTGTGTTCAGGTAATCCCAGCCCTGCTGTTGACCGGCTGTCGGCCCTTGGGCCCAAGCCTGGAGTCTCCCTTCTGTAAAATGGGCACAGTGACACCTTTCCCTTAGAGGTGAAAGGATTTAAAGGTGGTGGCTAGTCCTCTAAGGAATGTGGGAAAGGGGAGGGAGGCGGTTAATGGCCTTGGATGGCATCAGAGGGGCCCGATTTGGAGACTCGGGGGGTAAAGAAGGTACAGAGTATCTGCAGGTGGTTGAACTTCCACAGAGGAAGGGAAATAGATATTGAGGGTGGTGATCAATAGAGGACGTGGAGGTGGCACTCATTGTAGCAGTTACCTAACGCTGCGTAACAAGCTATCCCAAACCTAAAGGTGTCGGGATGCGGAAGCAGCTCGGCCGGGCAGCTCTGGCCCAGAGTCTGGTGTGAAGGAACGGCTGTGGGGGCTGTGATCTCATTAGAAGTATCCCCTGGGGCTGGAGGAGCTGCTGCCGAGATGGTTCATGCTTCAGTTGGCTGTTGGCTGGAGGCCTCAGTTCCCTGAATGTGGGATTCCCTACAGGTACCTAGGGCATCCTCACAACCTGGCAGGTGACCCCTGCCCGCCCCCCCCCCCATGGCTCCAGTGATCCAGGAGAGCGCAGGGAGGTGGCCAGGGGCCTTTCATGACCTCACTTTGGCGGTCGCCACGCTTCTGTCGTGTTGTGTTCAGTGGAAGTGAGTTGAGAGGTCTGGCCCACATCGAGAGAAGAGGGTTCGTCCCTGCCTCTTGAAGGATGAGTGCCAGACTTGGACGCGTTTCTAAACCACCGTAGTCAAGCGTACCTGAGCTGTGAGTGTGCTGCACCTCTTGGTCTGGCCTCACAGCTGGGCCTTGGACTGGTCAGCTGGTGTCATGAGCGGTGAAAACATCGCATCTGGGCCCAGGAAATGGGGTTCGAGTCCTAGGATGTGCTGCTGAGCTGTGTGGCCTTGGATTGTCTGTGTGGCCTTGGGTCGTCTCTGTGACCTTGGGTCGTCTCTGTGACCGTGACCGATCTTCGAACAGCTCCTGGCCTCGGTGTCCCCACCGGTGCTCCGCTGGCCTCTCGGGATCGTCTGAGACCCTGAGGGCAGGCCCAGGGTGGGAGTGAGTGTGGGGTTGGGGGGGTGTCCACTGCTGCTGCGGCCTGTCCCAGGCCCATCACGAGGCTGTCTTGAGAGGTGACCCGACCGTCTGTGTGACCTGATGTCCCGGGGAGGATCTTCGTTTCCCTGGGGTACGGAGCCCCGGGGTCCCCTGTCACATACCTTGTCTCCGGGCAGCACCTCGTGGCGATGCCTTCCTCTAGGTGTTGGTCAGGACCTCCAGGACCTGTGCGAGCCATGCCCAGATGGGGTCCCCACAGGGTGGTGCTCCCTTGTATACCACCACCCGCCCCCCAAGAAAAGAAACCCATCGGTCGGTCCACTGAGTGTGGGTGCTGAGGGTGCTTCGGTTCCGAGCAGGACCCAGAAGACGTCTGGACCGCCCAGAGCAGGTCCTGCGTGGGGTCACGTTCTCGGTGTCCCCGCAGGCAGCAGGACAAGAGCTCCAGTCCCCCTCTGTCCCGGGGTGTCCTGTGTGTTCGCGTTGACCAGCCAGTGCCACTCACGGATGTGGAGAGCTGGGCTGTGTGACTCCCGGCCCGGACACGGAAGGGATGGGGGTGGGGGTGAGAGGCACAGATTCGGCTCATTGGGTCCCATTTTGCCCAGCCTGACCCATATGAGCCTAGCCAAGCCCCTCGCCCACCCAAGACCTGGGTTTCTGCCCCCGTCCGCTGACCAGCTGCGTGATAATAACAGCGACTCCTGGGATGTGCCAGTCGTGCTCTGGAGCTTCTCATGTAATTTACCTCCTTGAACCCTCACGGAATTAACTTCATGAGGCAGACTTTGTCTTTATCCCCCATTTATAGATGAGGAGACTGAGGAGGCCCAGAGAGGCCAAGTAACTTGCCCAACATCACACAGCTGCAGGTGGCAGAGCCGGGATTCAGGTCCCAGTGTGTGGCAGCCTGGTCCATGCTGAGCCTGACCTCCAGGCCCCGTGGCCGGCAGCACCTCCTGCCCTCCCTGTTCACATCTTCCGTGGAGGAGGAGAGGGGCCCGAGGGGGGCCTGGGCCGAGCTTCTGGGACATGGCGTCCATCGGGCTCCACGGCCCTCCAGTGGCTGGCTGGGTGCCGGCTTGGCTGAGAAAGGACTCTTGTTAGGAACCTGTGTTTTCTAGTGATCAGCCTGCTGGGGCAGGGACCCTGCGCCCCGCTGGGTTCTCAAGTTTCTCTGGTGGGCTTGCGGTGCCTGTGGGCATGTGGTTCCCACCGTCTCCCCTGTTCTTCCAGAAAGAGGAGGCCACGTGGGGTCAGCCTCGGGTTGGTGCCGCCCCGGCCGCTCAGTGGGCCTGCTGCCGTGGGGCCCTGTCGCCCGGCGTGGCGCCGCCCACGTGACCCGCCGGCAGCTGGGAGGCCAGCCTGGGCACAGGGGCGCTTGTGCAGGTCCTTTATTTCCGAGGTGCGAGCCCTTTCCCGAGAGAACAGTGTTCCCTCGAACTTGCGCCTGCCTCGATACTGCCTTTTATGCGCCCCTCATCCCATCCCTGCTGTGGCCGTTTATGCGGCCGAGCCCCCAAGATCTCTTTTGCCGCCTGCCCGGCGAGAGGGCGATGGTGGCCGCGGCCCGGCTCTCCGGGACCCTGGGTTCAGGACGTGTGTCGGCGCCCGCGGCCTCTCCTGGCTAGTTCTGGGGGCAGGGCAGGTCTCAGGGGCCCACCCCTGCCTGGCCACCGGTGGGGGTCCCCAGTGTTCACCTGGCTACCCGCAGGGACAGGCATGGAAGCAGGTTGCAGTTAGACTCGAGTTGGACCGTATGCAGAGTGCTGCAGAGGTGGCGTGGGCTCTGGGGGTTGCGGAGAGCCCCTTGGGGTGGGGACCGTGGCCTGGGGACAGCACATGTTCCTGCCCTGTCATCTTCTGGGACACTCTGTGCTTGTGCTCTCTCACCCCTCCCATGACTCCCCAGGTCCCCTCCCCAGGTGACCCCGGGTGTTCCCTGGAGCTGTCCCTCCTAGGTCTCCGTCTGGGGCTTCGCAAGTTCGTTTACCTCTCCCTGCACCCAGCCCGTTGCCCGTGCCACCCGCGAGGCCGTGCGCTTTGATCTACGCCTCTCGAATGTACCCACGGTGAGGGAGCGGGGATGTGGCAGGTGCCCCTGAGAGGGCAGGAGAAGTTAACCGAAGACTGACTTACGGCACTGTTCACGCCCGCCCGCGAGGGAGCCCGGCCGATATCCGTGGGGCGCGTGGGGCCGGGTGAAGGTTGAGCCACCTCAGCACTTGAAAGGCCGGGGGCTCATGGGAAGGCAACTGATCTCACTCCTGGCAGGTGGCGGCTCCTTGGCCCGCGTGGCACCTGAACCTGGATCCCCGTGGGAAGGGGGCTTCCCCTGGACAGCGGTTTAGACCTGCGGTCGCGGGTCTTCTAGCGTCTAGGCGGGGTTTGCGCCGGGCGAGACCGCAGCAGGGTCTGCAGGTGGCTGTGTTTTTCTCCTCTGAGGCACCTTCTCAGTGCAGACCCGCTGGGTGCCTGTGGCTTTGGGATTCAAGGGGGGATGGTAGCGGCACAGGATGGCTCCGGCCAACCCGCCTGGGATGATCCCGGGTCTGTGCCGCCTGCCCGTACGAGCCTGTTTGCTTTTGTGGAAGGAGAAGGACGTGCTCCCTCAGTCTACAGAGCTATGTGCTGAAGGCCTGGCAGAAGTGTGTTCGTCTTCGTGATCCTCAGTGGCTCAGCCCTTTCCCTTTCCTCTGGCGTTCTTCTCTTTCTTGCGAGGACACTGGCCCCGCGCCTGTCGGGATGCTCTCAGATCTTCCGGAGAGGCTGTCGGCTCGGGCCGGGGTGAGCCGTTGGGCATCTGGACTCACCGGGGTCCTGGGCACAGCGGCTCTTTGCTTACGGAGCCGAGAGGGTGGGGCTGCCCGCGGACGCCGGGGCCGCCGGCGCAGCTCCCGCTCCCCGCATGCTGCCCGCTGGCACCGGCCCCCCAGGCCGCACAGACCCCGCTCTGGTGCCAGGCCCTCCTGCTCTCTGGGTGACTTCTGGTTCTTCTTTTCCTGTTTCAGGCATGAGCCATGAGCCCAAGTCCCCTTCACTAGGGATGCTTTCCACCGCGACCAGGACCACCGCCACCGTCAACCCCCTCACCCCCTCGCCGCTCAATGGCGCCCTGGTGCCCAGCGGCAGCCCCGCCACCAGCAGCGCGCTGTCGGCCCAGGCCGCGCCGTCCTCCAGCTTTGCTGCCGCGCTGCGCAAGCTCGCCAAACAGGCGGAGGAGCCCAGAGGTAAGAGGCGCGCCCGCCGGGCGGCTCCACGAAGCGGGGGAGAGAGCGGCCCCTTCCTTCCTGCCCAGGCCTCGCGGCTCCTGCGCTCGGGGGGCAGCAGCCGGTCCCACGAGCCGCCGCCCCGCACGTGCACGGGGCTCCGGGGGCGGGGCCGCTCCCGCCCACGTGCTTGCGCGCCCGCGTCTACACGTGCTGGCTTTTCTCGTGCTGCCTCGTTCTGGCGGGGACCGCGCTGCCTGACCCCCGCCCGTCCGGTGAGCCCAGCGGCCCCAGCAGCTCTGCTTGCTCCTGCTTCCCGCGCTCTCTGCTGCTCTGTCCTTCTTTGGCTGTAGGACCACCGAGGGGGCGTCCAGCAGCTGTGGCTTCAGAGGGTGGATGTGCTGCACCCCGATACGTCCCTCAGGAGCCCCCAGCCTGCCCCGGGGGCCTCTTCCCAGGTGGCATGTTTCCCGGGAGACCGGGAGCACCAGGCCTTGATACCCCCTCCAGACGTGGCAGGGAGCAGCACGGTCTCTGGAAACCCTCTTTATCCCGAGTGCCCCAAAGTGGGGGCACAGCTTAATCCGTCCAAGGCAGGGGTCTTGGGGTGGCATGGACAGGTGTCCCCCAGAGGTCCGGAGCCCCAGCTCCTGGTGGGAAGTGACGTGCTCTGTGACTTTGGGCAAGCGCTGACCCTCTCTGAGCTTCAGCCTTCCTGTTTGGTACGACGAGGCTCACTACAGCTCTGGCTTCGGGCACTTCTAGGGCTGTTAGTCCAAGGGCTGCTGGCTGGATGAGTGGGGCTGGCGGGCAGTTTGCAACCAGAGCTGCTGGGAGGCCTGGGCCGTTGTGGGTTCTGGTGCAGGCCTCTCAGGCACCCTCTGGACTCACTGCTTGGAGGCAGGGGGTCGGCCTCCCGGGCAGAGGAAGCAGAGACCCTGGGTGCCTCTGCCGGCCATCTGCCTTGCCCCAAATGTCCAGGGCCTCTGGGGCACCCAAAGAACACGTGTGCGGGAACTCTGTCTGTCTTTGTGGACTCTGGGGTCTCTAGCTCAGCAGAGCGGACATTTGCCCTGACTGGGGTGGCTGGGGGTCTGCTGATTTCTGAATCTGACTTGTCTCCACACCCTTGCTGATCACGTGGTTGTTGGACGGAGGAGGAATGTGAGGGGGGTAGACAGGAGTTGACGGGCAGCGTGGATGTGGCCCAGGAGCGAAGGCCTTCGGGGCCCGGTTTCTGCCTTGCTAGGGATCGCCCTCACTGCTGGTGTCCACCTGCCCTGGGCTGTTCTGTCCACCCAGATAGACCTTCCCAGTCCCTGCACGCATGCCCCTCCTTGCCCACCATGGGACTCCTTGGCCACGCGGCCGGAGAGCAGAGATATGGTGAGCTTCGTGCCGGCGAGGCCCCCAGAACAGACGTCCTGGGCTGGCTGCGAGCACCCCGGGAGCAGCGTGCACAGTGGCACCCTGGGCTGGGGCCGAGACTTGGGGGGTCTCTTCAGAGTCAACGCAAAGCCCCCAGAGCAGAACTTGGTCCCTGCTTTGGTGTCTTCCTTCCCGGCATTCCAGGAGGAGAAACAGGGCTGGCGCAGCTTTCAAAGACAACTGTCAGCACGTGGGAGACACTGGGGCCATCTGGCTGAGTCACCCCTGAGTGTCAGGGCTTCAGCCAACAGCTGTGTCCGCTCCCGGGCAGCTGGGCTCATCCTGGGGCGACACCCCCCCCGCCCCCGGTCTGTAGAGGATGTGGCAGTGAAAGGGCGCGTTTCCCTCCTTGCCGAGTGGGCGGTGGAGAGGTCTGCGGGCGTGGCTCACGCGAGAGCCTGCCTTGGTGGCCTCCGTCTCCTCTCTGCTGCCCCAGGCTGGCGCCAGCGTCCGGCTCGAATAATGGGCCGGTGGACAGCCCGCGTGCCGGAGATGGCCGGGCCTTGCTGGCCGGGAGCAGCGTGTGCCGTCGTGGAGCGGACCCTGCTCCCCGGGGGCTGCGATCTGGGTGTTCTACGTGACGCCCGGGAGCTTTGTGACGGAGGATCAGGAGATAGAGGAGAGGGCGAGCCACGCTGGCCTGAGCTTGTGCTGTCCACCGCTGGTTGACCCGAGGCTATTCCCATCGTTCTGACGAGAAAGCCGAGGTTTGGGTGGGCTGGTGCTCAGTATTTGGACCCTGGGCTGCTCTGATGCTCGAGTTACTCTGTGTGTGTTCTGGGGACTTGTGACCTCATTTCTGGCTCTGGGGGCCCCAGGCAAAGTCTGGAGTTTAAAGCAGCAGTGATGAGATTCATTGGCAGTGCACCATCTGGTGCACCCTAGTGGGGCTTTGGTTTGAAGAAATGAGCTCAGTTACTCTCCGGAGCATCCTCTGGGCCACATCCCATGCCTGGTCCCCATTTTTCTCACGGAGCTGCCCCAGCTTTGATGGGCTGTCTCCCGTCTGTAGAATTGGCTGGCAGCCCAGAGTCGTCGGCCCATTGTACAGGTGGGGAAGCTGAGGCTCAGAGAGGTCAGGTCATGAGCGTGAGGTCACACAGCTGGTGAGGACACGCCCTGTGCCCCTCAACTGCTGCTCCTTCAGCCTTTCCAAGTGGATGTGGAGAGCCGGACTTGGGACGGCAAGACTGAGTGCATGGTCCTGGCTGGGGGGGGCACCCCCTTCCCACCCCCCAGCACCCACCACAGTGGTACAGGGAGCCCTGGGAGGGGGGGCTCTGTGCTCCCCACAGAGCAGGGGACAGAGTGGAGATGTGGGCTGTCAGCTTCTAGAAGCCTGGGGGCTGTAGGGGCACAGGGGGGAGAGCCAGCAGCCCCCCAGCTCCCCTGCCTGCCTCTCCACCAGGGACCAGAGAGCCCAAGGGGGACGTTTGCTGGGCTTGGTGATGATGGCGGGTGGGGGGGGTTGATTTTTTTGCTTGTTAATAACTTTTTAAGGTATAATTCACGTCCCGAAAAATTCATCTTTTAAAGGACACAATTTAGTGGGGTTTTGTGCATTCAGAGTTCTGTGACCATCACTCTTAATTCTAGTATGTTTTGTCACCCCTAAAAGAAACCCTGTCCCCATGCCGTCCCCCAGCCCTGGCAGCCAGGATCCGCTGTCTGGACATCTGTCACCTGTGGGTGCACGCAGCCCCGCGGCTGGCTTCCGCTCTCAGACCGGTGTTTGCAGGGCTGTCCACGCACGGCGCACTTCTCGTGGGTGGTTGGCACCGCACACCTGTCACCAGGTGTGTGAGGAGGTGGACCCAGCAAGGGCTCTCCCGTCCTGCATCGCGGCGGTGACCGTTTATTGAGCACCTGCTGAGAGCAGGGCAGTCTCCCGCTGCGTTCCCAGCACAGCCCTGGCCTCTGTTCTCTGTCAGTCTTGCTGGTGGGCAAAGCCGAGAGCTTCGGGCTCGCTGGTTTCCCGAGCCATAGGCAGCAGAGGGGACTCTGGAAACTCCACGGCCTCCTGCTCCGCCCTGGCATCCGTGTCCACCTTCCCAGAGAAGGGAGCCACCGCCTCTGCCACAGCTGTCCCTCCCTGAGGGCGAGGCCCCCGTCTCTTCGGGGTAACCCAGGACCCCATGGCTGACCCCAGAGGGCCCTGTCCCCAAGGGCAGAGGTCCCAGGTGGAGCAGGTACGGCGTCCCCTCCTGCACAGGGAGGTGGTGGGAGAGGCGGGCCCGACGGCAGAGCCAAGACAGCCGAGGCCACAGCCCTCCCCCCCACCCCCACCCCGCAGGCCCCTCCTGCTGCCCGGCCCGTGCTGGTCAGCCGCGGGGCGCCTGGGTGCTGGCCGCAACCCTGGGCACCTCTGGCTGCCTCGTGACCCTCTCCTCCGGCCCCGCCGCCCCCCATGCTGCGGAAGCGTCTTACCCTGAGCCGTGGCCCAGCTCTCCTCTCTGCTTCCCCGGCTGATGTCTTTCCTCACGTCGTGTCTCCAGGCTGCAGTTTAAAAATCCAGTTCAGAGCAAGTAATCCACGTGCCCATTATTTGCTCTGCCCCCAGAGAGAGGATGCGAGGAGGAGACATTGGCCCCTGCTGGGTTTTCATCTTTCCTGAGGCTTCTTTGCAGCCCCAAGGTCCTGCTCCGTGCCCGTCGGCCAGCGGGGGGCCGGGTGTCTTTCCCTGGGGGACTCGAAGTGACTGCCTGTCCGGGGAGGGGGAGGGGCCATATCTGCCTGGCCCTGTAACCCACTCTGACGCGGGCGCCCATCAGGGTGGACACGGACGCCGGCAGATTCTGGTTCACGCCCTTGCTGTGTGGCCTGGGCACGGAGCTCTACCTCTCTGAGCTGCCTTGTGTCCTCAGGATGAGGGTAGCGTCTAGGGACTTCCCTGGTGGTCCAGTGGTTAGGGCTCGGTGCTTCCAATGCAGGGGACGTGGGTCCGATCCCTGGTCTGGAAACTAAGATCCCGCGTGCCTCACGGCACAGCCAAAAATAAAAAAGTTAAAAAACAACAGAGGCTGGGGATAACGTCTCTGCTCCGTAGGTTTTGCCGACGTAGGAAGAACACGCTCCAGGTGCGGCGCCGTGTGCCGTAGATGAGACCCGGCCATCCCCACCTTCCCCCACCCCTGCGGTGCAGCCAGGGCTGAGGGGCCGGGAAAGGAAGGCGAGTGCTTCCATGGCTGAGGGCGGGGCTGAGTTGCTGCGCACGTGTCTCGAGGCCCAGATTGACCCCGTTTGGGGAGAGAGCCCGTCCTGTCCGGGCCAGAGGAGTTGCCACGGCTGCTCCCAAACGTCCTGACAGCGTGGGTGCGCGCAGGCCCAGGGCAGCCGCTCCCTGTCACCTCGACCCTCGTCTTGGCTTTTGGAGAAGGGGAGTCCCAGGCTGTGACCAGGCCCACACAGCACGTTCTGGAAGGAGCCTCGGGCTGCACGTTTGGGCCTGACCCCCACGTTGGTCCCGGTTGTACCCGTGGGACCCTCCGGCAGTGATAGGCCGGAGCCCCCTTGAATGAGGCGTCCCGCAGCAGTGCCCTTGGCATCTATCTTCGGACCCTTTGCTGGCGGGGCGGGGCGGAAGGAGCAGGGTG